AAAAAAAAAAAAAAAAAAAAAAAATCCTCTCCTAAGGCCATGCCTCCTCCTGGTGGCAGCTGGCACCCAAAGGCTGAGCACGAGAACCTGAGAGCCCAGCTAACTGGCCCTGACTTAGGACAACCCTGCAGAGCTCAGCCAGCTCGAGCATGGCCGCAGCACACACTGGGCTGGGATTGCTGCTCAGCCTCTCCCTCTGTTCCAGTCTGTCTCCTGGGCCTGCTTTCCTGGGTGTTGATCCCAGGGGCACCCCCAATAAATGCCCTGCATGTTGGTTTCTCCAAGCTGCTTCCCACAGAACTCAACCTATGACAGGCACAAGAGATGCAGAGATGAGTAAGCCACGGTCTGGCCTTCAAGAATGTCAAGGCCAAGTGAAATTGCAATCCCAAGTGGCTTGCTGGGGTAAGCACACCGTGCAGTGCAGGGGCTGGAATTGAGGGAGTCCAGGCCCTGCTGGGGACCAGCCGGGTTGCCTGAGGTGTCGGTGAGTGCAGTCCAGCCAGGAGAAAGAGGGAGCCCAGGATTTCAGCGAAGATTCTGTGGACTGAGGCCTGACGTCAGCAGCTGTGGAGACACCTCCCCACCTATGTGGGGTTTGAGAGTGAAGGGGGGCTGCCGTGATGTGTCATCCACAGTGAGCAGCAGTGACCTGCCACCTTCCACGCCAGGGTCCCCTCTCTCCCGTCTCTGTCCTGTGCTTTCCAAAATGGGGGCTGACACTGTTTTCCATCCTTCATGACAACTATCTTCTGCTGACTCCCCTCTCCCCTCCAAAAGCAAGGCCTTTCTCAGCGCTCCAATTCCTCAACTCCGCCGCCCCGAGGTCCTGCAGCGTAGGCTCGTGTGGCCACATGCAGGCTGCTTGCACGACTTCCATGGAATCATAAAATTGGAAGCCTCCCCGGCTGCCTCCTACCCCCAAGGGCCCTTCTCCAAAGCCTAGCAGGGCTGAACAGTCCCAGTGACTGTTCACACTGGTAAATTCCAGCACCTTGGGAGGCCAAGTGGTGAAACTTCGTCTCTACTAAAACAATACAAGAATTAGCTGGGTGTTGTGGCAGGTGTCTGTAATCCCAACCATTTGGGGGACTAAGGCTTGAGCCTGACAACTCCCTTAGAAGACTGCCTGAGCTACGCAAGTTTTCCTTCCTTTGAGCCCAAACTGCTCTCTCTCTGGAGTCACTCGGAAAAATATCACTTCTTTTCCCGTATGCTAGTCCTTCAAATCAGACTGGTCACTAACGTCACTGTTTGAGTGCTTATATATTGTTCTTACCAGTAAATCCTCACAACCGTCCTATAAAGAAACCAGGTAGGTGTTCGAAAAGGTTGGGGAATTTGTTGTGGTTACTTTTTGTTACCAGCAACAGAGCTGTGATCTGATATTAGACTCAACTCCAACTCCAGTGCTCTTGAAGCACAAAAGCAGATTTGGCATCACAGAACCCTCCAGCTGCATTTCCAGGGACTCTTAAGGAGTTGAGAGAATTCCTCTCAGGGCTCACCGCTGGTGAGGGGCTCAGAGGCTGAAGCCTGGCAAGCAGGCAGCCACAGATCCGACAATGGATGGCTCCCCAGACACCCACCTGCAGGCCTCCAGCTGGGAGAGAATCATGAGGGCTGCAAGCAAGCTCTCTGGAGTGCGGAGCTGAGCGTGCCCACGGCCACAGACGGGAGGAGGAACGCCGAAGAGACAGGCACATCAGTGGTTCTTCTGCCAGCTTCACCAAGCCACCGTCTGCTCTGTGGTCAGTCTTTATCCTGCTTTAGCCCCCAAAACAGGGCTCTCTACCTGGAGACCCATGCCACGCTAACCTCAGCAGCTCAGAGTTAAGATTCTTTCGTTAAGCTTTTTTTTGAGACGGAGCCTTGCTCTGTTGCCCAGGCTGGAGTGCAGTGGCTCAGTCTCAGCTCACTGCAATCTCCGCCTCCCACAGCCTCTGCAGTAGCTGGGACTACAAGTGTGCACCACTGTGCTCAGCTCAGATCTTTCCATTTTAACATCCTCTGCATAACAATCACATGTAACAGTCAACTCCTCAAGAAATAACATGTATAAAGAATACCAGCTCTGCACAACATCTCTCCCATCTTCAAGATTGCTTCATTTGAAAACACAGTGTTCTATTTCTTCCTGCTAGACCCTGTCCTAAATTCCCTACTTCCCAGGTCCCTCCTATGTGGTTAGAGAAAATATAAAGAACATGCAATCACCCAAGCAAAGTAAGGACAAAGACGGTTTCTCTTCAGCACTGAGTCGTGATCAGAGAAGCAGGGAAGACGGAGCCAGACGCCGCTGGAAAAAGCAGCTGGCTTTGTGAGGCCAGGTTACAGTCAGTTCAACTGCCACACAGCGGGGCTGCGGACGTGGAACCCAAAACCCCTTCAGCTGAGGCTGGCCCAGGCTAGGGCTGACAGCACTGTGATGCCAACACATTGCCCTTCATTCCGCTGGCTCGGCCCACCCCAAGGTCAGGCAGGCAGATGACCTCAATGCCCCAGCAGCTGGACAGTGTCTCTTCTAGAGGCAAGGTTGGTGCTGCCACTGCTTCCTCCATGTGAGTGATGCAAGTGCCATAGAAAATGCCAATCAGAGAGTCCACACCCCTCAACAGTAGGCACCCACCACCAGGGAACAGCAGAGAAGAAGCAAATGAGATGCAGGGAGAGATTTAATTTACATAGCAGCCACTTGGGGTCCAGTCAGAGCTGGGGCAGTGGGGGAATCTATAACCCCGGAGGGTACCCCCCCAGACCCCGCCCCCTGGGAGACCAGTCCTCACCAACCCTTGGATGGGCTCCCAAGGTTGTGCAGAAGATGCTCCAGTCAAAAGGAGAGAGACATTTGGGAATAAGGCTGTCCCCAAGTCGGGGGAAGTTCATGGCCTGGAGTTGGTTGCCTACGTGGTAGCCCAGGGGTCTGAGAGACAGTCCATGTCCTGGGCAAGTCCTCAGCCTGGTGGCCCTAGAGGAAACCTTCACGGCGGAACTGCTCCTGGAGGAGGGCGCGGTACTGGTCAAATCCTCCTTCCACGCGGGTGACACCGCCTCCCTCACACACCCACAGCTCCCGGCACACCAGCCTGATGAAGCGCTCATCGTGGGACACCAGAATCACACCGCCCTGAAAGACAGGAGAACAGGAGGTACTTGGGGGGCCACCACGAGGCACTGAGGGCTGGGGAGAGTGGTCGGGGTGAAGGCATGCTCACTCTGAAATTGTTGAGGGCACGGCCCAGAGCCTCAATGGTCTCCATGTCCAGGTGGTTTGTGGGTTCATCCAGAATGTAGAAGTTGGGGCTGGAAGGCAGAACCCAGGAAGGTGGGCAATAAGGGGGTGCAGTGGGAGAAAATAGAGCCTTCTGACAGTTTTCTACTGGGCGAGAAGGGGAAGTGGAGGGAAGGGCTCTGGGGAGTGAGGCCTCACCAGGGCACGGTCATCTGAGCAAACGCCACTCGGCTCTTCTGGCCCCCAGACCAGCTGGCTACAGGGCGCATGGCCAGTTCTCCGGAGATGCCATACCGACCCAGCTGGTGGCGGTACTCCTCCTCAGGCCGCCCAGGAAACTTGCGTGCCAGCAGCTCCACAGCACTGACGTTTAGATCCAGCTGCTCCACGTGGTGCTGGCTGAAATAGCCAATCTTCAGATTCCTGCAGGCAGAAGCCCAGGTGGAAAAGCAGATAAAAGGCAATGGCCGTGAAGGAGGGCAGGCTGCATGGGTGCCTGGAAGCGTGCTGGTGGGGGTCTTGCCCTGCAAGCATGCTCAGGGGGTGTGGGGGGGTCTTGTCCTAGAAGCATGCTCAGGGGGTGGGGGGGTTTGCCTTGGAAGCATACTCAGGGCTCGGGGTGGGGGGATCTTGCCTTAGAAGCATGCTCAGGGGGCAGGGGTGGGGGTGCCTTGACCTGGAAGCACGCTCAGGAATTGATGGGGGGGCTTGCCTGTGAGCATGTCTGATGCCCCGAACAGGTGCCAGGTCCCCCATAAGCAGCTTCAGCATGGTAGACTTCCCGGCCCCATTCTCTCCAACCTTAAGAAACGTGAACACTTTATACAGCGCATGCCAGAAAAATCAATACCGAATGTTCTCACTCGTACATGGGTGCTAAAAAATGTTGAGCTCATAGAAATAGAGAGTAGAGTTGTGGTTACTAGGAGGGGAACTGAGAGAGGGATTTGGGAGAGGTTGGTTAACCAAAACAAAATTGCAGCTAGACAGGAGGGATGGAGGAGTAAGTTCCTGGGTTCTATGGCACAGAACGCTACAGTTCACAATGACTTAGGTACATTTTCAAAAAGCTCTAAGATTCTGAATGTTCCCAATATCAAGTGATCATGTTTACGGTCAGTATGCTTATAATCCTGATTTGACCATTGCAAAAACTGTATACGTGTATGGAAATATCACTCTGTACCCAGAAATATGTACAATTATGTATCAATAAAAAGAAAAAGAGCACCGCTGTGTGTAACACAGAAGGGAAGGAAATTAGAAGGGCAGTCTCCAGTCCCAATGACTCCTTCAACAGCCAAAAAAATATTTTTAAGAACTCTAGCTGGGTGCAGTAGCTCATAATCCCAGTTCTTTGGGAGACTGAGGTGGGTGGATCATTTGAGGTCAGGAGTTTGAGACCAGCCTGGTCAACATGGTGAAACCCCGTCTCTACTAAAAATACAAAAATTAGCCAGGCGTGGTGGTGGGAACCTGTAATCTCAGCTGCTTGGGAGATTGAGGCAGGAGAATTGCTTGAATCCAGGAGGCAAAGGTTGCAGTGAGCTGGGATCATGCCACTACACTCCAGCCTGGGTGACAGAGCGGGACGCTGTCTCAAAAGAACAAAACAAAACAAAATAAAACACACCAAAACCTCTACAGAAAAATACATACACTAATACACTAAGGGGAGCAGTACCTGAGTATCTGCTAAGCGCAGGGGATTCACTTCTCCCAAGAACCAAGTGACGTAGATGTCAGCTCCATCTTAATGATTAGGAAACTGCTTGCTAACCAAGCTAGGAAATGGCAGAGTCAAGATCTGAAGTCTGACCCTGAATCCCATGTTCTCTCCATAATGTCTCAAGGTTTAGAAAACTCAGAACTAAGACCAATAAGGTAAAGCACTGCTTTCAGTTTTCATAAAACATGATACACTAAGTTTTCCTCCCTGAAGAGCAGCACTCTGCCGCCAGAGGACAGGGCCACTGTAAGTCCAGCAAAGTCCTTAGCCTGGGCCCTCACTCCTGTTCCACGGACCTTGTCCCTTTACAGCCTGAGGAGCTGGGCCAGTCCACACCACACACTCAGACAGAAGAATCCCAGCTCATGGCACAGAGAAACAGCAGCCATACCACACAGATGCGGGACTCGAGATCAGCAGACACGGAGAGGCGACTGAAGATGACGTGCTTCGGATCATAGTAGAAATCCACCTCATCTAGCTGCAGAATTGGTGGCGAGAACTTCTCAAACCCATCAGGGAACCTGCAGGAGACAGGGGTGACGATGTGGAGCAGCCAGAAGGAAGCGATTCCCCGCCAGCCCCACCGGCCCAGTGCTTACTTCATTACCACCTCTGATTCCTTGTCCACAGGCTTCAGCTCAGGTCTGGGGGCACAGATGAGGTAGACTGGATTTACAACTTAAAAAATCACTTCCTGCACAACCGATGTATGTTCAGAGAAAACTCAGAGCTTATACTCCTACCAGTCAGGTATCACTACTTTAGAGTACATTCTTCTCGTTTACTATATGCTAAAAAATAGAATCAGGCTTTTGTGACTTTTTACCCACAGGTAGTATACTGTGGTGTATTTACATGTTGCAAACATCTAAGCCTTATGATTTTAAGCTTCCTGCCAGCACTTATAGAAAGGGCACTTGAAGACTGAAATCCCAATGCACATTATCACTAGTTATTAAGAAAATGCAAATCAAGCCGGGCGCGGTGGCTCAAGCCTGTAATCCCAGCACTTTGGGAGGCTGAGGCGGGTGAATCACGAGGTCAAGAGATCGAGACCATCCTGGTCAAC